CCTCCCTGTTGCCCCCATGACTCCCCGCCTAGAAGGCTAGCGGGCCTTACCGATGACCTTGACTGTCAGGTTGACCTGGTCCTCCCCCACAGGGTTCTTCACCGTTACAGTGTAGACGCCCTCGTCTTCCTTCTCTGCCCCCTCAACAGTGAAGATGCTTCGGTCCTTGGTGGTTTCCACTCGGACCCGGCCCTCGGTTTCACACAGCAGCTGGAGGGGGGAGGGGATTTGAGGCGAAGGACCCAAGTTGGACCCCAGAGGCTTCTGCAGCTTTTGGAACGGCCAACCGCCCCTGGACGGGAAAGGAGCTCAGAGCAGGGTTCATGGGGGAGGTGCAGCCTGAGTGCACACCTTGTTCAGATACCTTTCCTGAACACCTGCCATGGGCAAGCCACCAGGGCAAGGGGCTTGGACTCTAGCTCAATCTTTGTCGCGGAACTTGAGGCAATCACTTATCCTCTGTGTGCGTCAATTTCTTTATCTGCCGATTGAGAATAATATGACCTCCCAGAGCTACTGTGAAGATCCCACAAAGACCTCCGCTGGGTAGAGGAACCAACAGTGGAAAGAGGAGGAAAGGTAACCTGAGTGGCACTTCGGCAGCTACTCTTACTGAAAAGTGCCAGGGAAACCCACCCTCTAGCTGGGAGGAAGCGCAAAGTTACAGTCGACTCAGAAAGATGGGAGCCAGGAAGCGACCAGTCAGGAGGGCTGGCTTCCTGGAGACCTGCCTGGGGCAGCAGCACAACTGGCCAGATATGGCACCTTCCTGGAGGCCTTGCCCAAGGGTCCCACCATCAGCCTCACTCACCTTCTTGTCAAACACCCACTCATCATTGGCACCTGCATCCCCTGGGGCATCGGGGGCTGGCCCAGCAGGGACCTTTTTCCCCTGGGAACAGAGCGAGAGGAAGGGGAAAAGAGCTGACTCAACCTGGGGGGATCCCTGCCCAGCGGCCCCTCTGTCTCTCCTTTGCCCGGCCCCCACCTTCTGCCCACCTTGCTCGCCTCCCTGCCAGGTGAGCCCTTGTGCTCTCAGTCGGTGGCCAGCTGTAGGGCATGCGCATGCGGGGTATGGTGGGGTGAGGAGCAGGTCCCAGCACTCATTGGTCCCAACCACCCATTTTACAGGTGGGAAAGTGGAGGATGGATCCACAGTACCTGTGTGATGGTCTTCTGCCAGATCACAGTGGGAGCAGGGTCCCCGGAGATAGGGACATCCAGGCGTAGCTTGTTCCCAGCCACAACCACGATAGTATCCGGTGTGCGGCCCGGGCAGTCCAGATGGATCTTGGGAGGTTCTGGGGGTGGGGAGAGATGTTTAGAGAAAGGGGAAGGGCCCAAAGCTCATGAAATGGGGGAAAACTGGAAAGAGCACATGCCCGTTTTGTTTTGTTTTTAATCAGTTTCATTGAGGTATACCATATTCCCCCATGTATAAGACGCACCCTTTTTCGAAAAATTTGGGGTCTAAAAACTGAGTGCATCTTACACAGTGGTTGTAGATTTTTTTACGTGCATTTCCCACTTTTTTCGTGCTTGCTTTTTTGCGCTCATACAACCACTGTATAGGACGCACCCAGTTTTTAGACCCCAAATTTTTCGAAAAAGGGTGCGTCCTATAAATGGGGGGATACGGTAATTTACACACAATAAGATTCCAAGATTCGAGCATATAGCTTGATGAGTTTTGACAAATGTATATACTGGTGTAACTACCACCCAATTAAGATCTAGAACATTCTGTTACCCCAGGAAGTTCCTGGGGAGGTTTGTAAACATCAGGTCACTTGGTGTAGCATTTCTCAAACTGTTTTTGGGAAAATATCAATGTCCTGCCAGTAAAATAAGTAAATAAACAAACTCCCAAGGCCAAATAATTTAGGAAAAGCCTGAATTAAAGAAAGAAGCACGTTTCCTTACTGCAGGATTTTTCAGAGCCTTTTATATGCCAGTGCACCTTCTGAATCAGCAAGAGGTAGGGCAAGTATTCAGTGTTTCCCAAACTTATTTCACCATGGAACCCTTTTAAAATGAAGTATCTCATATTAAGTGAACCCAGTTTGGACAGCTCTGACCTAGAGCACGTCTCAGCCTGCACTGTTCTCCTGAAGTTAGGATTCTAAAATGCCTGACGCAGGCCGGCCGAGTGGTGCGTTGGTTAAGAGCAGCAGGGCCCCGGTTCGGATCCCACTGAGGGCCAGTGATGCTGCACCCTCTACAGCTAAGATGGTGAACAACAGCTCGACCTGGAGCTGGGCTGCCTGAGTCGCCGGTGATGGCATAGGCTGCAGTGAGGCTGCAATGGGCTGCCATAAAGGTACCGTGAGTGGCTGGCAGCCGGCATGAGCTACCAAGAGCTGCCATGAGAGGCCGTCCTGCGACCGGCGGCCGATCTGCCTCACCTGGAAGAGCGC